AATAGTGTCCCATCATTGGTGTCAGTGGGAGGAATAGTGCCCCATCATTGATGTCAGTGTGGTGGAGGGGAGAATAGTGCCCCATCATTGGGGTCGGGGGGGGGGGGGGGAAATAGTGTCCCATCGTTGGTGTCAGTGGGGGGGAGGAATAGTGCCCCATCATTGGTGTCAGTGGGAGGGATAGTGCCCCATCATTGATGTCAGTGTGGTGGAGGGGAGAATAGTGCCCCATCATTGGGGTCAGGGGGGGGGGGGGGGGAAATAGTGTCCCATCGTTGGTGTCAGTGGGGGGGGAGGAATAGTGCCCCATCATTGATGTCAGTGTGGTGGAGGGGAGAATAGTGCCCCATCATTGGGGTCGGGGGGGGGGGGAATAGTGTCCCATCGTTGGTGTCAGTGGGGGGGGAAATAGTGTCCCATCGTTGGTGTCAGTGGGGGGGAGGAATAGTGCCCCATCGTTGGTGTCAGTGGGGGGAGGAATAGTGCCCCATCGTTGGTGTCAGTGGGGGGAGGAATAGTGCCCCATCGTTGGTGTCAGTGGGAGGGATAGTGCCCCATCATTGATGTCAGTGTGGTGGAGGGGAGAATAGTGCCCCATCATTGGGGTCAGGGGGGGGGGAAATAGTGTCCCATCGTTGGTGTCAGTGGGGGGAGGAATAGTGCCCCATCATTGATGTCAGTGTGGTGGAGGGGAGAATAGTGCCCCATCATTGGGTCGGGGGGGGGGGGGGAATAGTGTCCCATCGTTGGTGTCAGTGGGGGGGGAAATAGTGTCCCATCGTTGGTGTCAGTGGGGGGAGGAATAGTGCCCCATCGTTGGTGTCAGTGGGGGGAGGAATAGTGCCCCATCGTTGGTGTCAGTGGGGGGAGGAATAGTGCCCCATCGTTGGTATTAGTGACAGCCTGGGCTCGCTCTCTCACTTACCTTTCAGCTGTCTTCCTTCTCTGGCCGCTCTCCTCTTCACTCGCTCCGGCAGCTCCCTCGATCTTCTTTGATGTACGCGCGCTGCCGCTCGGCTCCTCCTCTCCAAGCTCCACCTCCTCGCCGGTGATTGGCCGCCTGTGTGCCTCTCCTGAGCTACAGTTCCGGTGGCCAATCAGCGGCGAGGAGGCGGAGCAGCTGAGCGATCCCGGAGGTGTGGCCAGGTGACAGGAGCAGCGTATCATCCCGCCCACACATCGCCGGAGAGAGGAGCGGTGTCTCGGTTCCTAAGACCATCGGAAATATGTGTTTTCCGATGGTCTTAGGCGACCCCTGGGAAATGGTCGTTCGACCCCCAAAGGGGTCGCGACCCCCAGGTTGAGAACCGCTGCCCTATAGGGAATCACTTGCCTCACATTCAGTTGGTCCCCCTGATTGGGGATATTATGTCTCCGGGGGGTATTTTGTGTATTTTGTGACAGCTCACCTGTATATATGTCTTTATATGTTAATATGTGTCATTGATGCTTTTGTTTAGTATTTATTTAGCGCTACACCATTATTTTCAGATTATCTATATACTTTTTGGGTAAAGGAGGGTGTGAGCAGCTTAGGATAGGGTATATCCATTTTAAGTGCAGGGGGTTTTTTTCCCTTATATTTTGCCATTAATTGTCCTCTAACCTAGAAGTAGAATGCAGTCATTGATTAACATTTCAATAGACTTCTCTAATTGCCTTAAGAATTAATATTGAATTCAGAAACATTTCCTGTATTTGTGACTACGCCAAGTGTGAGCTGCCGTGCTCCGGAGATGTCATGGCTTTGTGTGACATTTCCTAAAATTAACCAAAAATAAAATTCAACCACATTGTGAAATCCAGTCCATTGTTCCAAAGGTGTGTATGTCGCATCAGCACGAGCCATGTGTGTCACATACATGACGGAGGAATGTTTAGTGCATTCCTTTCCCAGGCGTCTCAATTTTCCTCTGCCAAGAGCCTGGGTGTGTGCATGCGTGTGGCCTACATCAAGCTCATATCTGTGGAATGTTTTGATTACCCAGTATGGCTTTAGATAACCTGCAACTTTCCCTTCTTTCTCTTCCTCAGACTTCACCAAAGATGTCCACTAAAACTACCAGCACCAATAACATAGCACAAGCAAGGAGAACCGTCCAGCAACTCCGAGTGGAGGCGTCTATAGAGAGAATAAAGGTAATGCTGAACACCAGGATTGGCATATTTGCAGCATTCATAGCTTTTCTTTTATATTTGGTCTGATGGTAAGGGTTCAGGCGCAATAATCTACATAATTTACACCCTCAGTGCAAGTTTTACAAACTTTTACCACTAATTTTTGAAAAATCTTTAACTTTTATTTGGTTCCACAAAAACAAATAATTGAAGGGATTTTACTGTTTAAAGTGATTCTACGGGTTGAAATTAAAAAATAAAAATAACAAACATTTTATATAAACATTTACATTTTCCCTCCTAGATTGTAAGCTCCCAGGATCAGGGCCTCCTATCCCTCTTGTACTGAACTGTATTGTTGCTCTATTGTCTCCCTTTATATTGTAAAGCGCTGAGCAAACTGTTGGCGATATATAAATCCTGTATAATAATAATATTTACCTGCTCTGTGCAATGGTTTTGCACGGAACGGTCCCGGTGGTCCTCCTCTTTTTGGATCCCCCGCCAGTGGTCCTGGCTCCTCCCCCCCCCGCTGACTGCCCTCAAAATCAAGCCTCTTGCTATGGAGGTGGGGGCTCTTGAGCAGGCTCGCTCCCAAGCCATGCTCCTGTGAATGAACCATTGTCCATTCACACACAGAGAGTAGCTTAGCCACACCCCTGCTCTCTCCTCATTGACTCACTGGCTGTGATTGACAGCAGCAGGAGGGCTCCCACTGCTGTGTGAGTCAATGAGGAGGCAGAGACCCGGGAGAGCCGCTGCTCTTATGCACATCGCTGGATCAAGATGGGGCTCAGGCAAGTATAAGGGGGGTGTCTGGGGGGAATGAAGGTTTTTACCCTAATGCATTAAGGTAAAAAAAAAACACCTATCTTTAGAACCACTGTAAGGCCAGAATTAGATGTTGACAACTGGTTTTAAAAATCCCACTCCTATTTTCTATCATTGTAACTGTGTAGGGCAGGGGTGTCCAAACTATGGCCCTCCAGGTGTTGAGGGACTGCAAGTCCCATGAGGCCTTGCAAGACTCTGACATCCACAGGCAAGACACCCAGAGGCATGATGGGAATTGTAGTACTTCAACAGCTGGAGGGCCATAGTTTGGACACCCCTGGTGTAGGGAGATTAGTACCTCTTGCTCAACTTCCTCTATTTTAAAGGAAACTTGAATAATTACCTTCAGACGAGATACAGCTCTGAACTATATTTATTGAGCGTATACGTATACGGGGAATACAGTGTCCGTCCTTCCTGCATCCCGCTCTTCATAGAGTTCATCCCTGCTTATATAACCCTTCTTATCAAATAGAGACAGATCACATTAAAGGACCACATTGGAAGGCACACACCCCTCCTCGAATATCACACACGGCTACTGGCACTATGACCATCAAGATATGCGTTTTGCAATGAACAACTTTAAAATATATGAAGTTATAAAAACATTTCTGATGAGAAAAAATGGAGTATACAGTCATTTATAACATTCTATATATGTGATTCAGTAAGGATCATAGTTATCCCTATACATAATAACTGCATATTCTGCTTATATTTATTATTCATTATCATTCATTATCATTCATGTCTGGTAGAATGTGTATATGTACATCACCCATTCAAAAGCATGGAAAATATAAAGTGTTAGTATGACATGGAATAGGTTGCAGTTTGCCTGATTTCCTGTTTTGAAGAATGTATCAGTTGTTTTGGTACAGTAGAAAAATGTGTAAATAAAAAGTAACAGGTTGTAATAAATGATGTGGTTCAATGCCAAGTTATGCAAAATCAAAAACCTATATCCAAAAACAATAAAACATTTCAGTCGTAAGTATTCTTCCTTCTGGTTACTGCCGCAAAGATTTTATGCCTTTAGGCCATTCCCAACATCTCTTGGGTCATGCTGTCAAAGACATAGCAGTTCTCAGCTGATTGCTATATTCCCCCTAAGGTAAGCCCACACTTGTGTTCTCCTCGTAGCCCAAAACGTGCCCATTCGGCCAGTCCGAACTTGCAGGCTTGCACCAATGATCTTTTGCACAACTGAGCTCCACCTAGGATATATAAGCAGTCAAATGATCGGTAGGCATTACCAGGCTCCAGCCAAATCTTATGACGACTGTGGATTGCACGTATTCTTCACTCAGAGGATTGCTCCAAATCATATTTCAAATCCCCATACCATATAAATCAAAAGGTGAAACAAAGCAGCCTCTTGGTGTAGTAGTAAAAGTGCTTCAACATTTATTACAAACTCCATACACTTACATTATTCATTGTATAATAGACATGTCATCAGGATTGAAAAGTTTCAAACCAACAAGATGATTGTGATTCTCATGCGCAATGACATCACACACTGATCCACCCAACGTATTTCGTCATCATAAGACGTCATCAGGGGATAGTGCATACTAATACATTATTATTATACAGGATTTATATAGCGCCAATAGCTTGCTCAGCGCTTTACAATATAACGGGAGACAATACAGCAACAATACAGTTCAATACAAGAGGGATAGGAGGGTCCTGATCCTGGGAGCTTACAATCTAGACTCAAAGCTGTAGGGGGGGGGGGGGGGGCACTTTTTTTTCTTTTCTTTTTTTTTTTTTCTTTTTACCATTGGTTTGAGAAGTCCCTTGCAAGACTAGCTGAATAAGTAACAGTCTTTTGGCATGTAAGAAAGTTTGCAGATATGTATTTCAGCTGTATACATAGCTGTAACATAGTTAATCTTTTTTTTTTTTTCTAGGTTTCCAAAGCGTCGGCTGATCTCATGCGTTACTGTGATGAGCATGCCAAGAACGACCCTTTGCTTATGGGCATTCCAGCGTCAGAGAACCCCTTCAAGGATAAAAAGCCTTGCATTATATTGTAGTGTCCTCGTCGCTAGCGAACATCTCTTTCTCTCTTCTCACTTACAACACCAAGCAGATCCTTGCTGAAATTAGACTAAGGATTCTGTTATCCACTAAAGAAAATGAAAAAAAAAAAAAAAGAAAAAAAAAAAATAATGTACTTTAATCTATACCAATGATTTTTTTTCTATTTGTTTTTTTTTTTTTCTTTTCATTTTTTTTTTAGATTTCGTATTCATGGGAACAGTCTTTCTAAAAAACCAAATTGTTATTACTTGGGACGTGTTAGGGGTGGTAAATATTTTGGTTGGGTTGTATTTTATTATGGTTTTTTTTATGTGCAGTGTCTACTCGTCTTAGTCGAAGTATTGCTAGAACTCTAACCAAGACCAAAGTTGCCTCCGCTTTCTGCGCAAATTAGCGTTGCAGGTCGTGAATGGTGTAGCGCAACTAAAGGTCCATTGCCATGTAGAATTCGTAGTTCTGAATCTGCCATTCCTGGGCCTTGTCCGATGTCCTAAGTATGTTCTAAATTCAGGGTAACGGGTTTGTTTGTGAAGGAAGAGTGTGCTTGTCTTGCAAGCACCGGCAGCCATTTTGTGAGCCGAACCAGTCTTTTATGAAGATCACGCCAACCTAGTCACTTGAATCTTCGTGTTATTGCTTGCTGTGTGTAGGGGAAAACGTTGTATAAGACATGGCTGTCTCTGAGGCATTTCAGAGTTTTCCAGCTGCCCTGTCTGGTGCTTGAAGGAAACTCCCAGAAAGAATCTTGAGCAATTTAATTTACTCACTCTAGCCCTCTAATCCTCCAATTAACACCGCTCTTCTAACCTAGAAGATGGAGAACACTACCATCTGCTTCTTTGATTGGCTAGTTGTAACTTTCTGCCAATCACAGAGAGAGAAGCAGCCCATGAGCAGCTCCAGGCAGAAGGTAAATACTACTACATGCGAAGGATTGGGCTTTATATTTGGCTGGTTGAGAGAGTTGACTCTTGTAAGCAAGGACCAAAATGAGGGCACCACAATAACCTTGTCTCACTGCTGGTAATGAATTCCCACAATGGCTGCCTTTAGACTCTGCTGGCAACACGTACGCAAGGCTAAGACCTCAGTTTGTCTTTGGTTTTTGCTCCAAAACCAGCTTGGTGCAGCATTTCTACTCTGCTCTGATTGCCTCTCAACATTTGGTCAGCTAGTATTCACGACTTTACATAGTGTTCCTGTTCAGTATAAGAGACTTGTCCAACAGGTTCAGGCCTACATCTGCAGTCTGGCCAGTGTGTTCCTCACCAGATGCAGTTGGCCTAGCATAGGACTGGTTAGGTTGCCCATTAAAATGTTATTGGCCATCCTTTGAGCAGAACATCCATGAGATAAAACCACAGATATGCCAAGTAGGCTGAAAATTATTCAGGTGGCAAGGTTTAAGAGGAACTAAAGCCATCAAATAACAGTTTCCCAAAACCGTTACAGTCAAGCCGGAAAGGCTTCTGCTTCCAATTGGACTTTGAAGACATCAAATGGCTGGTGTCATAACTGATCACATGTGCAGCACCATGATCGAAAGATGGCAGCTTCCTTGCCTGTAAAGGATATATGAGGCTTTAGTTCCACTTTATCAAGGCCTCAGACTCATTGTTGTTAGCCCTCCAGTCCAGAGTTCTCTTTTTAATTGATTGCGCCTGTATCAAGATCTTCACCCTGGCCAAGCTCAGCTAAAGATCAATCAGACTGTAGACACGATTAACATTATATTTAGAAGAAAAAAAATTAAAAAAAAAAAACAGGAAGGCAACAAAACCAGCCCTGCTGCTTGGCTTGGTCGGGACCTGCTTTGTATTGTATTTCTTGGGATCCCAAGTGCCGAGACTAGGAAGGCAACAATACCAGCCCTGCTGCTTGGCTTGGTTAGGACCTGTTTTGTATTGTATTTCTTGGGATCCCGAGACTAGGAAGGCAACAATACCAGCCCTGCTGCTTGGCTTGGTCAGGACCTGCTTTGTATTGTATTTCTTGGGATCCCGAGTGCCGAGACCAGAAAGGCAACAAAACCAGCCCTGCTGCTTGGCTTGGTTGGGACCTGCTTTGTATTGTATTTCTTGGGATCCCGAGTGCCGAGACCAGAAAGGCAACAAAACCAGCCCTGCTGCTTGGCTTGGTTGGGACCTGCTTTGTATTGTATTTTTTGGGATCCCGAGTGCCAAGACCAGGAAGGAAGGCAACAAAACCAGCCCTGCTGCTTGGCTTGGTCAGGACCTGCTTTGTATTGTATTTCTTGGGATCCCGAGTGCCGAGACCAGAAAGGCAACAAAACCAGCCCTGCTGCTTGGCTTGGTTGGGACCTGCTTTGTATTGTATTTCTTGGGATCCCGAGTGCCGAGACCAGGAAAGCAACAATACCAGCCCTGCTGCTTGACTTGGTCGGGACCTGCTTTGTATTGTATTTCTTGGGATCCCGAGTGCCAATGGATATTATTTCAGATACGTATGTTCGGTCACAGGGACCACTGTTTTTCTTTTTCAAATACGTGCACCTTGTAGGAAACTGTTTTTGTTACCCGTAGCAACCTGTCCTCTTCTCTTTTTCATATTCCAGCCTGCTCAAGCATTTTGAAGGGGAGCAGCTGGCTTGTTGCTTGGGGCAACACTGACAGTTTTTGTACGTGTGCTGACTGGCAGTAAGGAGAGGCAATGGCACCAAAGAAATCAAATGCAGCCATTGTTTTTAGGGTTTATTTTTGCACAGTAATTATTTTGGTGAGCGGGTAGGCGTTTACATTCACAGGGTTATGTCCGTTTTCTGCTGAGGGGGGGGAGGAGCTTGGGAGCAAGACGTACATTAAACTATATGGGGGTTTTCATAACGCCCATCACAGATCCCTAACGTCTGTTCCATTGTGGGTACTTGCACAGAATGTATTATCCTAGGTATGCTGGAAGACCTGCCGGGGGTTTCCCCTCTTGCAGTAACTTGAAGGCTATTGCATCCTCCTGCATCATTCTGTGCTTTTAAGCCATGCACTTCTATAATCGGGCAAAGATGTTTTGTGATATGACACATTGCTGTCTGGTTACAACACAGTACAGAATGATAAGGGTGGGGGTGGGAAGGGGGGGTAATACATTTTAAGAAAAAGCAATGCATTTAATGAAGTGCAGGAGAGGTTGTACTAGCAAATTGAAAAGTCATGTCAAGATGGGAAATCCCTTTAAATGTGCCACCTCTCTGTGAGGTTTCCCTGTTCACAGGCCAAATGTATGAAGTGTTGTTCTTTTTTTTTCTTTCCCTTTGCTTTGCTTTAAACATTGCTTTTAATTCAGTAGCGCTGGCAGTCAGGTTGACACCCCCTTTTTGTCAAATTTTTTTCTTTTTTTTTTGCATATCCAGGATCCTGACTATAAGTGGCATATCTGGGGCTCACGAGATTGATGTATTCTCTGCTCACATTATAGGCTTGCAGTGTTGAATTCAACAAATATATAGATTTCACTGACTGCACTTTTTTTTTTTTTTTTCATTTCCTTTTTAAAACTTTGTATTTTGTGCTCACGAGCACCTAAAATCAGCCAAGTAAAGTGTTTGAAAACTCCGTTTTGGCAATAAACGTCCCCAAAACTGTTAGGAATCCACTAAAACATACTGGTGCTCTGTCGTAACGCCATACTGTAAATTTTCCCGCACAGGTGATGAAATTTCCGTAAAATATATATATATTTTTAATACAACTTCTTTCTTGATATGTGTGTGTTTTTATTGGTTACTGAGGCAAAGTATTTTATTAAATAGCAAATAATTCAAGTTTAATGAGTAAATGTGGGAGGGGGGGGGGGTGGCATTCCGATTTACAGTTTAGCTTGGGGTAATATGGGGAGGGACCATGTATTTTATGGAATTAGTACACTCCTAATGTGCCATAGTAGGACAGTGTTTGTGAGTGTGTGTGTGTTTTTAACAAATTCTCTGGGATGGAGTGGGGTGAAAAGACTCCTACTTCGGTGGTGGATGGCCGGTTAGCATTCAGCTACAACTGACTCGTATGCTTGGTAGTTGACCAGTCCAGAGCAAGACTATCTCTTTCTGTATGAGTGGATGCAGGGGTGGACTGCCCATTCGGGTACTCAGGCACTGCCCAAGGGCCCGAGGTCAGTAGGGGGCCCCATGAGATGTCTCTGGTACCTTTCATAGGCTTTTTTGGCTGTGGTTTGAGTGTGGGCAAGGACACAGGCCCCATGAATTATCAGTCCGCCCCGAGTGGATGGAGCTTAGGCTAGTCTGTAAAGCTTTCTTTATAACGGCTACCAACACGTTTCCAGAACCACCAGTCATTCCATTTAGGACTTTGAATTTTAGTCTATGCATTGACTACACACATTGGAGGTAGATGTTTTGTGAGCGTGGCCAGGATGAGAACCAGTCTTCTGGAAACTGGTGTCATTACTATGGTACTTGTTTCTAGTGGATTGACAATGCGGCCACCAACACATTCTTAAATGGCAAACTGTCAGAATATTGGCACTAACAGTGGGCACCAGATGCGTTGTTGTGCATTTTCTAGTGCAGAAAAATACAGTAAGAAAACTTTTTTTCAGTAAGAAGATTCCACCAACACATTGCAGTGTGTTGACACGTAATTTGAAAAAGAGACCCTCGAAAATGCAACCCTTCGCAGACCAAAGCCGGTCCATAGATGGTGCGATTTTTCTTTCCTGCAACTCGCTCGATTCCCCCAACATTACAGCAAGCGTTGATGGAAAATCCCTCCCGCGGACCCTTCGCAGACCAAAGCCAGCCATAGATGGTGCGATTTTTCTTTCCTGCAACTCGCTCGATCCCCCCGATCCCCCCAACTTACAGCAAGCGTTGATGGAAAATCCCTCCCGCGGACTCTTCGCAGACCAAAGCCAGCCATAGATGGTGCGATATTTCTTTCCTGAAACTCGCTCGATTCCCCCAACATTACAGCAAGCGTTGATGGGAAAATCCCTCCCGCGGACCCTTCGCAGACCAAAGCCG